AATTTTTTTTTTAATATGATAACAATGAATTTTTTTAAATAAGTTAATTATACATAAAAAAAAACAACTTATCTAAAGCATGAATATAATAAGGAAAATAAAATTGATTTGAACCTCCGGGAAGACTTAAACATTCCTTCTCTCGTTGTAAACTCCGTTAGAGGATCTAACAATTTGTACATATTTCCTTTCTGTAAACAACAAATGAAGATAAGAAGAATTAGTAATCAGTGTTATGAACGGAAGCTAAAAGTGATTTAACTATATACTAAAGGATAAAAACAATACAAATATAGACATTTTTTTTTAATTTCTTCCAAACTGTACCTAAATATCTTCAAAGTGTATAGATTATTGTGTCAAATACCACAATTTATAGGATATCATTGAGTAAAATCAAAAGGTCTCATAATTATGCCATCAACTTCTTGAGTGTGGAAAGATTATAAAGGTGTGAATATTAATGATGAGATAGTGGAGGTGTGGTATTAATACACATTATGACAAAATTACACCTAAAACTGATTAGATAGAGAAATGAAAAGTTTCTCTAATACCTTTTTGTAATAACTTTATAATTAATTATTGTTACAACTATTGATTCTCCTACTTTATTTTAACAACAAGTGAATCAAGTTAATTAGCAATTTAAGCATATTTAATATTTAATTAATTAGATATTTTATTATTTTTTAATTTAGTATAGAGGTAAAATAGTAATTCAACTTTACACTTTAGAGCTTCATGCTTATAATAATATATGATATGATAGGTATAACGATGGAGGAAAATTTATTCGAAAACTTAAATGAAGGATATATATAAACAGTTTACCGGAGTACACAGGTACGTTTGGCCTTTTTGTGTTGAGAAATTTTCTATGTTGTTTGAACTTTGAATTGGTTTCGGATGAAGGTCGAAAATGCTACAAAATTAAAGCCATCCATTCAAACTTTACCCTATAAATAGATTTATCCCCATCTCCAAACTACTAATTACTTTACATAGAGTACTACTTGTCTTCTAATTACATCTACTCGAATCCTTGCGCGATTTTTATAAGGTCTGATACGCGATTTTTTGGAGGATTCGAACAACATAGATCATCCCCCAACAGTTGTCTAAATCATGAGAACTATTTTTCAAAACCATAAATCTGCTCATATCTTCACCATAACCAGCCTGATCATCATGAGCTGTCATCATCACATGAGAAGAACTCACATCTTGTCGCGGCCGTGGCGGTGGTGGTCCTGGCTGAGAAGTAGTGGCACCACCAAGATTAAAGTTCAAGCCTGAAATAGTGAAACCATTGCCTCCACCTAAGTTATTGTTCATTTGGGATTGAAGAGTTGGATGCAAGTTCATCAAGTTAGACGATGAAACGCCTCGAAAAACTTCTTGAATATCTGGATGATTGATCACAGTGTGAGCACTTGATGATGATGATGATGATTTTCCCATGGCTAGTTGAAATGTATTATGTTCAACTTGTGGCATCATGATTTGTGAAGAAATGCATATTGTATTTGGATTGATTTGATCAAGTGTAGTGTAGGGGTTTACATGAATTCTTAAAGTATTGTTATTAGAAGAGTATCTTTTTCCTCCTGCATTACTCTTTTGTAATACACGGCAAACATTCCATTCATCTTGCTGAAAAATATTCCAAAGTACGTACATACAACACAAGTTAATTTAAATTCACACGGAATTTTAATAAAAAAAAAATACGACTTTTGAAACTTATTGTTAAAACAATGCGTGTAAACACACATATATGTTAGAGCTATCTAGTGTAGAATAAATTAACCAACGATCAATTAAGATCGAGAAATTTAAACTATTTAAGTAGCTTAATTCAATACACTAAGCTCATGTTGAGAATTGAAATATTAGTAATTTCTGAAGAAACAATTAATAAAATTCTTTTTCATTTGCACATGCAATGTAATATGAGCAAATAAGAAAACTATTTTCTACAAGACTACAACTACATCGTTATCAATATATGTGTTCCTTCTGTACTAATTTATATGATGTATTTTCCTTTAATTTGATCTAAAAAATATGATATATTTCTATGTTTAGAATAATGCTTTAAATTTCAAGTATTTCCTTCGTTTCTTTTAGTTGTCATAGTTTTCTTTTTGAGAGTCAAACGATATGAATTTTAGCTAACGTTTTAAAATGTATTTTTCCATTAGAGGCGGACTCACACTTATAAGTCCGGTGTACGTGCAACTTCAGAAAAAAAACATTTGTACATATATATTTATCTTGAGAAACTGACAGAAATTAAGATATAATTACAATGCACCATGATGAGCATATGAATGTCCTTCTGTTGTTAGTATTCAAATTCTGAGTTCACCTCTGCATACTGATATGAAAAAAAATTACAACTTATAGTATTTGTTGTATAGTTATTGAATGTCTAATATTTTTTTTCAAAAATATTGAATTAATGTAATATAATTTAACTTTAAAAATAAGTCAAACTGACTCTCCAAATGAACAACATAACACTAAAAGGAACAAAAAATTCATATTACTTCTAGCGAGAACGTTAAAATTTTAATACTACAATAAAAAAGAAAAAAAGATCCCCCTTAGAGCTGAAACTATGCGCCTTATTCCATTTTCACGTAAAATAAAAAAAATGAATTGATATATTTATTAAATCCGTCAGGACTGACTAGAAAAGTAGAAGTACATACCTTGTGTGTTCTGTAGGATGATTTGGAATGAGTCTATATTCATGCATTACCCAATTGGTTTTTTCCCCTCTTGGTGCTCTTCCTTTATAAAATACCAATGTTTTCTTCATACCAACTAATTCTAAATTACTAAAAATCTCTTTGTCTTTGCCAGTGGTTTTCCAATATCCACTATTTGTTGCTCTATTTGTTCTCACTCCTGTTGGATACTTTCTATCTCTTAGGCTGAAAAAATACCATTCTTTTTCTCCTATTTTTGCCTTCCCTATATCATATAGTACAGGAGTCCGAAACTCAAAGGGTAAAAAATATTAACAAAAATTCCAAAACGGTATATAAAATTTTATA